AGCGAAACAAAGAAGAGGGAGGTCAAGTCGAATGACCTGAATTTTCTAGTAAAGTAGGAGGTGAAGAAACTAGAGGAAGGAAGGGAGTGTGATGGAGAATTAATCAGTGAAGAATAGGATTGCTGTGACAGAGTGAGGGCAGGGGGGTTTAGATAACATACATTTGTAGTGCCCTGGGAAACATGGCTACGTGGCTTCCTTCAGTGAAGTTTGGCATCATGTTAATAGAAGAGGAGGTGTTCCTGTTTGCAAATGATACTATGTTGATTGCATCAGGCACCAGAATACTACAGAGGCTTCTTTTTTTTTTTTTTGCAGTTTTTTTTCCTTTTTAGGCAATTGGGGTTAAGTGACTTGCCCAGGGTCACACAGCTAGTAAGAGTCAAGTGTTCAGTCTGAGGGCAGATTTGAACTCAGGTCCTCCTGACTTCAGGGCCAGTGCTCTATCCACTGCACCACCTAGCTGCCCCTACAGAGGCTTCTAAATGAGATTTATAACTACTCAAAAGCGTTCTGCCTAACCACGCACATGGGAAAAACCAAGTAGATGAAGAATGCCAGTAGACAAGTAATAATATGCAGTTGAATGGGTAGTCCATAGACATTACAGATAGTTAGTAGTACTGAACGAATAGTCAATCACTCAATAGGCATTAATTAAATAGTGACTGTGTGTAAGGCATTATGATAATAAGCAGTATGTATGCAAAGATAGACAAAAACAGTCCCTGGACTCAAGGAGCTTTTTCTAATGGAGGAGAAACATTCAAACAACCGGAATACACAAGACATATACAAAGTAGATTGAAGGTAAAAGGTGGAATGGAAAGTAGAGAACAGGCTGAATTTTATTTGGAAAACTGTGTAGTGCTTTCAGTGATATCAAGTTGCTCCCTGAAACAAAAATCTGTCTTTATTAATACTCATTTATTCCACAGGGCAGCTAGGTGGCACAATGGATAGAGTGCTGGGTCTGGAGTCGGGAAGACTCATCTTCCTGACTTCAAATCTGGCATCAGACATTTGCTAGCTGTGTGACCCTAGGCAAGTCATTCAATCCCATTTGCCTCAGTTTCCTTATCTATAAAATGAGCTGGAGAAGGAAATGGCAAACCACTCCAGTATCTTTGCCAAGAAAACCCCAAATGCGGTCATGTGGAGTTGGACACAACTGAAAAAAATGACTGAACAACAATTTATTCTTCAGGTGTGCTATATGATACTGAATCATGGAACACTACAACTTCCAAAGAATTAAAATTGCAAGTGATCCACAGAGAAATGGAGAAACATATGGTGGGTATAAATAGCCTGCAGCATTTTATTAATGATGTGTCCAAGAAGCCACACAAGAGATACTATCTAGGGCACGTTTGATAAGAACACGTGATCATACAGAAAGTTATGTAGCAAAAGTGAAGGGTAACCGATGAACAGTCCAGGTGATGCATTGGTACCCATAAAATGTTGAAAGACCTGGAGCAAACTCAATAACCCGACAGATGGGCCCCTAGTGATGGATTTGTGGGAGGTTAAGACAAGAATCTCATAGGATAAAAAGGTATAGTAAGATTATAATCTGTACCGTGAAATTTCTGTACCATTCTCAAAATATAAAAATGCATTTTCCTGGAATCTTACAGATCTCTTCAAAGGGCTTTATACCGAAAAAGAAGGGGGAAGAAGAAACAGTCTACATATTGCTACCAAGATAGAAGCCATTGAGAATAGCTAAAATGTAGGGAAAAGAATTACAGCAGAGATGCTCAGGAATTCACAGGAGACAAAATCTAAGTGTACTTGGGGGAAGAAAGCCTTTGATCAAGACGCTAATGATCAATTGATTTCTTCTCACCCAGTTGATGAAATGGTCAGGTAACACAGGCAATGAATGGTTATGGTTTTAAAAACTGTCTATGTTCAGTTACCACTTCATGAGGTAGCAAGACACCCTCTGAGAAAAAGACTAATGGAATTAGAGGTCATTTAACTATTGGCTGGCTAAGGATCTTGATGACCCTTTAAAAAGTAAGACACACACTCTAAGGTGTGTCAAAGCTGGAGGTGCCCTGAAGAGGATGACCTCTGGCAGAAGAGCTGAGAAAGCCAGCTATGGGAAGAAGACCCTGGTCTTTGAGAGAGAAAAACATAGCTTGCCTTTTAGGAGAGGAAGGGGATTTCTCTCTCCTCCCCATCCACCATGGCATCCTGAAGCAGATCTACTCATCTAGTGGGAGACACTGAATTCATCAGGAATCAGACCCAGGGAATCAAGGAGCCAGCTGAGAAATGAGGAAAGGGATAGGTTTGAGCAGTGACACCATGAAAAGGTAAAGGGTGTCAGAGGCTTGCAGTGCCAGAGATAGAAATGCCTGGGCTACATGTGCGCTTTCATATCCCCTTTGTGTGTATCTCTTTATTAATGTATTTTGTGCGTACACTCATTCTTCCAATTGTCATTGGGTATTGTTGTGGGAGATTATGCTCCAGATTTACAGAAGGAATGTTTTGTCACTAATATTCTTACATTGCCATCATATTAAGTGCTTTTTTAAACGTTAAGCAAACTATCTACTGGTTGACTGCTAAAGGTAAGCACACTGTTTGGGGCTTATGAGTAGTAATTTAGAAGTGTGGACTAGCACAGTACCATAAACCTGGAGGCAAATGCCCAGGTATATCAGCATCCTGCTCTTAAAGATTCCCTATTTGCTGTTATTTTTCCCCCATTACAGAGGGACCGCTAGGTGGCGCAGTAGATAGATAAAACACCGGCCCTGGAGTCAGGAGGACCTGAGTTCAAATCCGATCTCAGACCAGACATTTGACATTTACTAGCTGTGTGACTGTGGGCAAGTCACTTAATCCCAATTGCCTCACAAAAAAAAGAGAGAGAGAGAGAACAAATGCCCACCCCGATGCCACAATCTGAAAGTGAAAGTTTGGAGGAGGGATTAAGCTAGAAGGATTCTACAAGAGAAATGAACCAGTAATGAAACTCATGACCTTAGGTGTTTATACGTGATGATACCAATTATGAACAACAAACAAGTTGAAAAAGAGATTTAATGAAAGGAAAGAAATTTAACCACATAGGTATCACTGAAACATGGAAGGCTGAGATTCATAACTGAACTATGACTCTGGACAAGTATTCTCAAATACTCAAATACATCTGTGATTTCATCAATCTGGATGTTCCCTCCAATGATGCATTCCCAACCCATCCATACCTGCCCCTCCTATGCAATGCTTTTCCATGTCCTCCAATAAATTCATTATAGGGAGTACGCCCAATGTATTGGAGATCTTTCTCACATTTCCTAACATTGCAAGGATACCCTGATGTCATCTTTTGCTCTTACCTTTTCAGGTTCCTCATTGGCTATATTTAACAGCCTGCTCAACACCTACCATGAACCTCTTTGTTGTACTCTGTTTTGTCTTTAATTTTAATTTGTCTTTAATTTTGTCTTTAATTTTAATTTGTCTTTAATTCTTCAGACTCATGTCTCATAGTCAAATAGCCAGATATGCCCTATTCAGAAGGAACAGGATGGATAAAAGGGACAGGAATGGAATAGTATTGCATATTAAGAAGATATATTCATGTGAGGAAATCTATGAACCAGATAAGGGAAGCATGACAGAGGACATTTGCGTAATCAATGAAGGCAAAAACAAAAGCAACATTGTTATTGGAATGTGCTATACTCCATTGGAAGAAAAAGTGGAAATAAATGAAGAGTTTGAGGAACAGGTCATAAACCTGATATTGAGGAATGAGATAGAAGTGATGGAGGATTTTAATTAGCAAGCTATGTATTAGAGTTCTTCTCTGCCCAAAGCAGAGCAATTAATAATTTCTTGACTTGCCTTAATGACAATTTCTCTCTCTCTCTCTTTTTTTTTTATTAGTGAGGCAATTGGGATTAAGTGACTTGCCCAGAGTCACACAGCTAGGAAGTATTATGTGTCTGAGACTGGATTTGAACTCAGGTCTTCCCGACTCCAAGGCCAGTGCTCTATCCACTGGGCCACCTAGCTGCCCCATAGATTTTTTTTTCAAGGGCTTTTATTTATTTATTTGTTTGTTTGTTTAGGCGATTGGGGTTAAGTGACTTGCCCAGGGTCACACAGCTAGTAAGTGACAAGTGTTTGGTCTGAGGCCACATTTGAACTCAGGTCCTCCTGACTTCAGGGCCGGTGCTCTATCCACTGCGCCACCTAGCTGCCCAATGACAATTTCTCACTTCAAAAGATGGAGGAGCCAAAAAGAGAAAAATTTATTCTGGATCTGATTTTCATCGGGAATAACTGGTCACTGGGATGGAAATAAGAACTTTAGGGTGAATTCGTTTGGGGAGAACACATTTCAAAAGGTTCAGAGAAAAGATAGGCAGGATTCACTACACTAAAATTCTGCTGGAGAAATCAGCCCAATTAGGATGAGAAGTTCACAAGAATTAAATTCTGAAGACACAAAGAAAAACAATTCCATTGAGAAGGAAAAGAAGAAATCGTCTAACAAGACTGATGTGAATGTTCAGGGAAACTCATCAACTGACTTAGGATTTCAAAAGATATGTATAGGACAAAGAAGAAAAGACAGATAGTGGAGAATAAATGAAAAAGCATGGCATTGTCCTGCAAGGTCACTATCCTATCAGGTACACTAAGGCTCCGAATGAGTTGAGTTTAGCAAGGAAAAACTAAAAAAAAAAGAGGTATACTGATGAAAAAAGTAAAATCAGAGAAGGATGAGATCATTGTTTGAAGTGAAGAGAGGGGTACATGGAGACCAACCAGATTCCTGTACACAATACACATTATTTTTAAAAGATGGTTGAAACATCTAGAAAAGGAAGCAGTGATCACAAACAGGTGTCATGGCTTCATCAAAAACAGGTTGCACTTGACTGCCCTAATTTCCCTTTTTTGACAGGATAACTAGATCAAATGAATGCTATAGTTTATTGAGATTTTAACAAAGCATTTCACAGGATGGAGAGATGAAATTTAGATACTGGTATGGGCTGATGGATTCATAGCTGGTTGAAAGGCAACACCCAAAGAGAACTCATTAATGAGTCAAATTCCCCTTGGAAAGAACCACAGGAATGGATCTGTGTTTGGTGATGGTTGACGTTATTAACAATGATTTGGACAATGGCCTCGATGGTATACTCATCAAACTCTTGAATGAGGTCTTCAGGGAAGGGCTGGATAACCACTTGGGAATGTCATAAAGGAGATTCATTTTCAGGTACAGGTAGAATAAGTTGGCTTCTGTGGACCTTTCCAACTCTGAGATTCTGTGATTCTATGAGCTCATGGATCAGCTGAAACGACGAAGTAATAACAGCAAATAATTTAATGTCAGAAAATTCTGCTTTCTGTACTGTATAGATAGGCATTTGTTTTATGATGCCATGTTGTGTATGTTACAGAAGTCTCCCACTTCCTGCTGGGTAGCAATACATATTAGGTACAATTTTTGAATGCACACAGCAGGGGCCCACAATGTTTCAACCTTGTTTAGGATACACAAATAATAATAACATTAATTGCATTTATAGAATGGTTGAAAGTTCACAAAGCATTTTTAAATATGTCAAGCCAACAATCATTTATGAGCATATTATATACCAATAAAATACAATAAATATTTAATTAGTTCCTGTTTTTTACCAGGCACTGTGCTAAACACTGACCAGACGTATTTTTCTTATTTGAACTTCACAACAATCCAGTGATGAAGGTACTATTATTATTCCCATTGTATAGCTGAGGAAACTGAGAATGAGAGAGGTTAGGTGACTTACCCAGGGTCTCACACAGTTAAGTGTCTGAAGCAGGATTCAAATTCAAGTCTTCCTGACTCAAGTTCTATACTATCTCTTATGCTTTGTCTGGGCTCTGCTTCTCTATCCAAAATTGATCTGAGACAAAGTATTAAAGATTAATAGATAACAAAATAAAATAGAGAATAAGATAATAAAATAGTTATTTTAAAAATTAATGGGGAAAACATAAAAAAAAACCCCTTTCTCCTCTTAGCAGGGGAGAGGCAGTACCTATGAGAACAAAATGTCATATATATTGTCAAATGTGGTGACTGTATATCCCAAAATGACAGTGATTTAAAACAGAAGGCATCGATAAAGCTCACTGGTTTTGTTGGTTTGTTTGTTTTGGTTTTTAGTCAGTATAAGTCTGAGCGAAAGTGAGAAAGGGTGGGATGTGTGCTAGCATCCCCTGTAATGCTCCAGTTTAGCTGAAACATTTGGTATACTAAAACTGTGAGAAAAAGCAAGGCTGGAAAGATGGGCTGGACCCAGGTCATAGAAAGTCTCGAGTAACAACTTAAGGAATTTAGGTTTTAATGGAAAAGCCAGGTGGTCCCCTTCTCCTGTTCTCTGATTGCGTCAGTCTCTTTAATGTCATCCATTGGACCTCAGTCCAAGATGCAAGGTGGCTGCAAGACTTTTCCCTGAGTATGATAACAGGAGAAGAGCTGCAAAGTATAATTTCCCCGGGCAGACTAATTATCTGACAAGTGTATATTCCTCATTCCCTCCACCATTTCACCAATCAGAACTCTAAAAAAAAAAATTTATATATGCATATATAATATATTTACATACGTTTAAATAAAGATATATATGTAAACACTGATATTGGAGAAGGAAATGGCAAACCGCTCCATGATCTTTGCCAAGAAAACCCCAAATGGAGGGGCAGGAAGAGTCAGACACGACTAATCAGCTCAAGAACAACAAAGACACAGACAGACAGACAGACAGACAGACAGACAGACAGACAGACAGACAGACAGATAGATAGATAGATATAGATAGATAGATAGATAGATAGATAGATAGAGATAGATACCAGACTATGACTTTACTAACATAGGGAACTTCTGCGGAAGGATCTCGCCTCTACCAATACAGAGTGACATCTCTGTAACTCACAGTCCTAAGATTTGCCTGGAGCATCGTGAGGGTACTTGCCCAGAATCACTCAGCCAGTATCAGAGACAGAACTTGAATCCAGGACTGACGAGTAGTTCTCTCTCCACTGAGCCACGCTGCTTCTCATGCAATAATTTTTCACCCCCTGTGCCCCACTGAAGAAATTTGAAGCTGGAAGAACACTTTCAGCCTTTTCCCCCTCAGCCCCAGCTAACTGTGTTTTGTTGTGCAGTGTTGCTGTCTTGTGTTTTCCTTTCTTCTAGGAAAAAAACAACAGAAATGGCTTAATCTCTCAAAGTGAGACCCAGTGCCAAGTCCCAGCCCAGAGCAAGGCTCCATTGCTGGCCAATTCAAATCCTCCTGAAAATGGGATTAATAATGGAAACACTAACAAACCCTTCACTCTCTCCCGGGTTCCCTGGCACAGAGACAAGGCAGCACGCTGAACTCCCCAACTCCTAATTAAAAGATAATGTCAATAAATGCCCATTGTCTGGGGATAAAGGCCCAGGGTTTATCTAAAACAAACAGCTGGGGGAGGGGAGAGAAGGGAAAGGCTTGGGGCACGGCCAAATTGCTGACTTCTGCCAGTGGAAGGCATTTGACCTGTGGCACATTTTCTTCCTTCCGTCGGTGTCTCTGTACCATGGGGTGAGCAGGGAGGGCGGCGCTGGCTTTCCTGTTGGAAAGTGAATATGGGATTGCAGAGAGGGTCAGCTGTGCCAAAGGGCCACTGCTGGAATCTGCCAGTCTGCTAAGCAAACTCCTCCTCCCCTTCCCTCCCATCCCCTCCCCTCCCCTCTCCTCTCCTCTCCTTTCCTCTCCTCCACTCATTTCATGCACCTAAATATTTATTTTATCAATATGATGGTTCTGAGTAGAGCCAGCCTGCAACCCCTTATTATTTCTTAGGTTCACAGGAGAAATTGTATTGTACTGGTCAGGGATCAAATCCAATCATTGGAAGTCCCAGGACCCAAAAGACCGATGCTTCAAGACTACTGCTTACCAGTGTTCATGACTACCATTGTGGCCTCCAGGTACACAGAGTCCCTGCTATATATCAAAATAGAACTCCCCTTTCCCCTCCCTCTTCCTTTCCCCTCCCCTCCCCTCCCTTTCTCCTCTCTCCTCTCTTCTCTCTCTCTCTCTCTCTCTCTCTCTCTCTCTCTCTCTCTCTCTCTCTCTCTCTCTCTCTCTCTCTCTCTCTCTCTCTCTTCTTCCCCCTCCTTTCCTCCCTCCCCCCCCACCCCTCTATTTCCCCACCTTTCTGCCACACACACGCATATCACTTCTGTCAGTTCATCTTGACCTTTGAGGTATGATACCTGTGGCTGTCCTTGTTCTGGCCAAGTGCTTGTTCTAAATAGGATACATTAGTCTGGTGACCAGTACTGTAGTCCATCTGCGTCCAGGTCCTAGGTGTACATAGCTGGGCCCACCCTGGGTCATTGGAGGGCATAATACCATGCAAGTATAGGAGCTTCCCAGCTCCAAGTCCCCTTCCCCACACATAAATTCATATATTGAAAGATAGGATTAGAAGAACTGGGCTCTAGAACCTTGGGGGTAGCTGCTCCATAGGACACTCTAGTCTGAGGACTCCCAATCATCATAGTTGGCATTTATGTAGCACTTTAAAATTTTGTTGTTCAGTCATCTCTGACTCTTCATGACCCCATTTGGGGTCTTCTTTGCAAAGATACTGGAATGGTTTGCCATTTCCTTCTCTAGTTCATTTTATAGTCAACAAAATTGAGGCAAACAGGAGTAAGTGACTTGCCCAAGGTCACACAGCTAGTAAATATCTGAGGCCAAATTTGAACTCAGGTCTTCCTGACTCCAGGCCAGTGTCTAGCCATTGTGCCACCTAGCTATCCTACTTTAACATTTAAAAACCACTATATATTTATTATCTCATTTAATTTGATCCTCAAAACAACCTGTATGGTAGGTACCATTATTATTCCCTTTTTACAGATGAAGACATTGGGGCTAAGAAGGAATCAATGACTTGCCTAGAGCCACATAGCTGGCATGTGCTAGATGCAGGATTCAAATTCATATCTTCCTGACTCCTGGTTCAACACTCTATCCAGTGAACTCCCTCCCTTCCGGATTTCACAACCCTTTATCTTACCTGGAAAATTAAAAAACAAACAAACAAACTTGTGGGCCACCTCTCTCAAAGGGAAAGGGCCCTCTCTGGGGTGCAGCTGGAGAAAGAGGTAAAGGACCCCCATGCCCACCCTTAGGGGACCAAGTTGCCCCCTGTGTGACATGAAATGAAGAACTCTTTGTGTATAGGTAGAGGATATGAACCTGACTATAGATGCTGCAGAGCAACTAATATAGGAGAAACAAGACTTCCAATTTCTTTTTTTTTTTTTTTACCATTTACTGAGAGGGAAAGAAATCTCTGAGCTGTCTTCTCTAACCAAAGCATTGCACATAGTAAGCACTTACATGCTTCATTCATTCATTCATTCATTCACTTACAGGTCCCAGGCCTGGAGTAAAAGCAGTAAAAGTTCAGTTTGCACTTAATTGCCCCATACCACTTAATTGCAGTGCTTACATAAGCAGACCTTACTGCTCAGGGTTACTGGAACTGTTTCCCATGTCTTCCCAAGATAGTTCTAAGGTCCTTGAGCATAGAGGCTGTATTTCCTTCTCACCACCTCTCATCATACCCTGCAAGGTTCTCGGCACCTGTTGACTTTTCTGTTTGTGTGTGACCACCCTGGGCCATTGGAGGGCATAATCCCCACCCCCCCAGGTATAGGAGCTTCCCAGCTCCGACACATAAATCCATATATTGAAAGCTGGAAGGGACCTGGGAGGCCATTCTAATTCAACCCGCTCATTTTGAGAGATGAAAAAAATCTATGCTCCGAATGGTTAAGTGACTGAAGTCACATAGTAAAACTGTCAGAAGGGATATTTGAGCACAGTTCCTCCTACCCCAGAGCCAGTCCACTGGACTATGAGGCATTCTATTATTTAACTCTTTATGTGTCTTCTTTCTACGGTTCACTTAGTACAAAATTCCCCTACCCTTACAGCCACAATTCAAATATCTGTACAGGTGACTTTAATTTTAAAGGAGTACGTACTATTACTTTCAAATCACTTCTTGCCTATGAACTTTGACATAGAGATAAATCCTACGGAGTGGCTGAGGCCCATAATAGATTGTGATTTGCGCAGAGTAACACAGCTAGTTAGTGTCAGAATCAGGATTTGAACCAAAGTTCTGACACCATCACCAACATTCCATTTATTATACCCCTCCCCCCACCTACTTTTTTTCTTTTTTTGCAAAATTATTGTTAGCAAGCTTGTTCCCAGAGAAAGCAGTGTTT